TATAGGGGAATCCTTGTTTACAATATTTGCCTCATTAGCATAAGCAATTCAGTTTCTGATGGAGCTAAAAATAAATCAGTTCTGAATATCGAAAGGTCAAAGTACGATTAACTCGGCCAATGAATACGAGCCTGATGCATTGAATACTTTCTGTGCAACACGGGTTTAAAAACTCAAAATTTTACATAGAATGTATGAGCTCATTAGCACTTTTGCCACCCAGAAATTTTGCAGTTTTTGATGGACTATTTCTCCTTGAATATTACACCCAAAGAGCTAAAAATTTCACCATGTACTAAGGTTTTCTGGCTCTTTACCTGCCTGAAGTCAATTTGTCTTTAACATGCTTCCTTCTTTACGCAAAGCCGTATGCAAATGAGCAAAAATGTAAACAGTGACGTTAGCATGAATCTGCCTATAGACTAGCATCCTGTCTAACGGAAGAGGAGATGTAATAGTGTTGGCAAGCTTTGAAGATATTTTTCGCTTCCCTTCCCCAATGGTTGTCTTAATTTGAATTTCCTTCTCCCCTGGTTTTGTTAAAACTCGGTTTAAAAAACGTCCTGTTAATTAATCCCATTCTCTGTCACTGTAAGAGATTTCTTACCGTATTGTTACCTTTACATTCCTAATTTTGTCCCCCAGGATCTCGTTTTCTCTTATTTGTTACTGTCATTGGCAATTTCTTTGAGGTTTTTTGCTTTTTTGTGGTATTGTTTGAATAAATGTAATTAACGTATTAAAGTTTCTTTGGTGGATTTGCCGAAGAACAACGTTGTTTATTTAGCACTTAAAGGATTCCCCAGTCAAGTCAAGGTCAACTTCCAACCCCAGTTTTACAGACTCCAATGCAGCCTGGTTACTGCGTTTTATTTGCGGTACAAAAATAGTCGGCAATCGCGATCTCTATAACAAAAGTAAGGCTGGGAATTGATCCAGTTCACCCAGAAATTGTTTACTTGATTGCCTTGATTGCCTTGATTGCCGGTTTACGACAGTTTTGTACCCAATTCCTTAGTTGCCAAGATGTGAGGGTAAGCTTTTTTTAAGAGGTACACTTGGATTGTTTGAAAATCTTACGCGACACTGCAGCTGGGTGGTTACAACACGAAACCATACGATCCTAAAACGTCTGTAGGGCTGAAGAGTGATAACGCATAACAAAGCAAATGCTAATATGTTCCTTCGTTTTAATAGCTTAAGGGCCATGTTTAATTATCTTAACAAACGTTGCCAGGTTCATGGACAGGTCGAGAGTGTGGAAAGAATAAATCACTCTTAACTTAGCAACTTAGGTATTGGATGCAGTTTCTGACGTAAACATTTTTGAGGAGGTCAAAACTGAAACAAAAGAAAAGGGTTGAAGTCAACTGGATCAATTTGTTGGCCTTTTTTGTCTGATGGATATCCCTTCTCTGCTAGTTTTGTATGCTTTCACGTGTTTGGATTATAAACAATTCGCGTGGATTAAATACCCTGCTCAATTAAATAGTGATTTTTTTCTAAGAAGTGTTAACAGCTGAACGGGACTATGTTGGAAAAGAAAAATACTGGTAGTAGTCTCACAATCAGAGCATTTGTAGTGAAATTCCTGGCTTTTCTATAGAGCAGGCAACTATTGCAGTATAAGCGGACTTTGGTGAACACTCAGCGAGTGTGCAGATCTTTCTGTGGCCGCTTAAAAGACTTAATAAATAGGTGTTAATCGTTGAATAGTACTTTCTGCCTCCCGGAGTGAAATAACCGTCTATACTCCAGGGACCTTTAAAGGTGCCAATATGAGCTGGATTTCGTTTTGATTCCGTTTTAATTGACTATTGTTTACGGCGAACAACTCTTCAACTCCCACAGTTTCGGTGTTGTTATTTTGTTTTTTCGTATTTGTGTGCCTACTTCATGAGTTTACAACTGAAATACACCAAAGTTTGGTTTCAACTCGTTTCATCTTTCAATAGACAAATGCTCAAAACTTGTGCATCTTTGGCGAGATTCAGTGTTACAGTAATTCGTTTTTCCGTTTGGATAAAAACATTTGGAAATTGCACCTCATTCCACAGACCCTAAAGTTGTAATTTCATTGAAGGCCATGTCAAGTTTACGATCATTTTCCCGCTCTAAATTTAGTTGGGAAAGGAAAAGGTATTGTCAAGTGGTTGTCTTGCAGCCAGCTGTTATTCGGAACTACATTCGCACGACCTTAGCAATGCCTTTGAATTTTTAAGAACTAAACACGACTTGATTGATGATTTCAGAGTTCGCTAAGGAGTTTGAATGACCAGTCTGTCAGCTGTCAGGGTAATTGAAGGGACAAATATTTACTTGGAAAAGAAAAGAAATATCGCTATTTTGGGCTGAGGCGCGCCTTGCATATTGTCTATTAAGTTATTCAAGGACGTTTTTGACACTCGTTTGACAACAACAGCAATTCTCACACGTTCGATCTAATCAGGTCTCACGATGCTTTATTATTGCTGAAGTTTTTTTTTATTATCGCTGAAGTTTTCTTCAGAAGAACTAACGGAATAGTAGGGTGTTGCTTTCAATGGTGTTTTGTTCTACAGCCACAGAATTAAAGACCTATTTGTAAAAATTTGCGCAAAGCCTAGCATGCAAAAGTGTGGTGACGCCTTTCCGACAACGAATGCTATGATCGTGGAAGAAAATTCTCGTAGATTAAAAGAGACGGGATGAATGATAAGTTTGGACAATATCACATACTCTGATTATGGCGCTGTTTTCAAGATATCGACCGAGTATTCCTTGTAAAGAACGCTTAAAAATCATTTTGCTTGGTACTGATATTTACAGTGCTTTTCATACCAAGCTAACCTTTCTTGCTGAATATTTCCTCAATTCCTAATTCCCTGTCAGGATCATCAACTTCCAGTTCTTGTAAAGGTTTTTTAGGTCTGCGTATGTACCTGGCCTTTTTAGCCTCTTGTAAAAGATCTGGTAACGGTGGCAGCAGGTAAACAGTCCTAGGTAGCCCATCTGGGGGAACATGTAGGTATTGTGTGTAATCAGGCTCATCGTCATCTTCGTCTTCGTTTACCTTATTCGTAGTCGGCTGAGAAAGTCTATGTTGAATTCTGTCTTTGACAGCATCGAGGTTAACATTTACAAACGAAGAATCGGGTTTAGACGAGCCCCGCGGTGAAATAGGACGAATTCGTTCGGTATCTCCGTTTGTATTCGTGATAGCGACGTTTACCGTCACTCCATCGCTGGAGTTTGCGAGGTTTTGTGCCTTAGGTGAAACTTCAAAGCTAAGTTTTCTACTGCGCGAATGTTTTCTTCTTTTTTCTCTTGGCTTAGATAAAGCTCGCGGCGATGTGAATGACTCATCGATTTCGTTCTCATCCATTGGTGAAAAATCAGTCCGAGAAGTAAGCTGTGGAAGAGATGCACTCATTGAAGGTAGCGTTGGTAACGACAGACTTTTTCGTCGCGAATCCTGAGCATCATTGTTCAAAGCTGCGCCAATAGAGTTTCCAACCGTACTCGAGTCGATGTCGAGATTTTTTCTTGTGGACGCTGCTCTTTTAGATTTTTTTCTTGCATTGTTATTGTTGTCAACTTTCCCCGGCATTGTCCGCTCGGTTGCTGTATCTCTCATCTCTAAGGTACCTGAGGTTTGCGTGATCTCCCTCAACTCATGCTTCAGGCGTCGCATCTCGTAGTCAAGCGATTGCAGTTGTGTAGACTGCTGCCCCTCCAAGCTGCCTTTACGGATTTGTAAGCGGTTGCCTGCTCTCTTGTTTAAATGACGAGCTTTGCTGGCGTTATGATCAAGTTGTTGAGCAGAAAATAGTATATTGTTGCTGCGCCGAGGAGTTCTTTCTCCCATGACGAATTAATGCCAAATGTATGTCGACCCCGTGATTCGGCTGAGCGGCAATTCGGCTTTGCTGTGCCTTGATAATAACTATCCCTGAGACAAAGCCATGGTATCTTGACAACTCGACGAAAATCCCTGTCGTGTTGAGGGTATTCGTTTGCATAACAATTCCCTCTGTCGATACATTTGGTCCCATCTATGTGGGAAGTATTTAAGATATCTCAGTTATTAGCATAAGATACTTAAACGTCACACATTGCATATACACTGAACAATGCCAAGCGTTTTGTTTTCTTTAGTGTCCTACTGAGAAGCCACTGATAGCCAAAGGGCAAATTTCTTTTGTGACAGGGTCATTTTTTAAAATCAAGCAACCGTTTTGTTGTTTTGAGATTGATTGACAAACCAGATTTTGCAAACAAACAAATTCGATTCGCATCACAATATTAATCTCGCACACGAAATATAGGTTATTCAAAGTAATGTTTAGGAAGGTTAACCAGGATCACCTGTAATCGACTGACTCTTTGCAGTTTGATCAATTTTCCTTGTTCTAGAGTAGGCTATTTTTTTCTTCGTGACTCACGTCAGTTTGGAGAATACACTTTTACGTCATCAAATTGGGGGGCTTGAAGGGTTTAAAGAGGAATTGGCGAAATATTAAAGCTGTTTTTGACAGCTTTTATTGTCATTTCAGCTGGAACGAATGAACTAATGCCAAAAATTCTGTGAGGATTTAAATAGATTTTTATTAGGATTAAAGACTGTAGGCCATCTTTCAAACATCCAAGATCGCAGTCTTTTTTGTGTAAATAATTTCTGTTAATGTTTCTTCACGAGTAGTGGAAACTAGCTACGGTATTTCTGGAGTTGCGTAACACGTTTCGAACGACAGCACAATATCTTCAAAGTCTTTCAGGTTTTTAAAAACACTGCAGGGAGTATTAGCTTTATACAGTAGCGTCTAAAGTAATTTATTCCCCGCAGAGGTCCGAAAAAATCGTCCATTTAGGGTTCCGTGATTTAGAACCGAGGAATTTACTGGCCACTTAGAGCGAATATTCATTCCAAACAATCGTTGTTTAATTTCTTTCCTGCCACTGAGCGTTGGGACACCGCAAAAATCCCGTAAGGGGTCGCGTAAACATTCCTGTCGATTTTGATTCGATTTATACGGTCAAAAGGAGTAAGGTCATTCAAGTGATATGATATGAAAGTTGATATGAATGTTGACAAACAGATTAATACAAAGACAATAACGATCAAAATATCTCGTCATTGCACTAAACAAAGGCAGCAAACTGTGATGATTAAACTTATTATATAGAGCGTTTCTCGATTGAGTGTCACAGACCAAAACGAATACAATCACAACAGCCAATCACAGGAAGGAATATATCTCGAGGAGCCATGAGAACGCGGTGTAGAAATAAGCAACCTACCTGAAGCGCTGGAAAACGTTGATGACCAAAGTCGCGATTGGTTTTAGTTTCGAGTCTGATTGGTTGAGAAAGTGGCGCGAGTTTTTTGGACCAATCACATAGCGAAGTAAAGCAAAGAAAAAGCAATCCCGGATTACTTTCTATACTCAATTGAAAATTTCCTCTGCTAAACAACACAGGTCACGGATTGTCCAGCTTTAAAAGTTGAACCCAAATTTATCCAAGGGGGTCATTTTTAATCTGTTCGAATCACATCCATTCTTCGTCATCGTTTTTCTTTGGTCGTACCTCTCTCGTGCTTTTCTATCTTACTAGCCTGATTTTTTGCGTTCTCCTCCAATTTGAAAGTCCCTTTTTACGTTAAAAGGATTTTGGTTGTGTCACAATAAAATTTAACTGACCCCCTCTCAGGCTCTGTAGTATTCTAATGACTCCCCACCCCACATCGGCAGTCAAATTTCTTTAGTTCCGTCTTTATACTGTGACTGTTAGCGTTTACCGCTCTCCCTTAGTTCCCTCCTGAAAACTTTGCGATCTGTCTCCTCCCCCCAAAAATCCTCGACCACATCCCCCGGCGATAACTAATGAGTGGTCCCTTAAAAAAATGGTCTCTTTATTGGTTTCTCTCTTAGTAGTTAGGATTTTTAAAAATTCAGTTCTATGTGCTCTCTTTTCTTAAGCGTTTACAATGACCCTGGTAATTAATCTACACCGTTCCTGCATGGGACTGGCGAATTAGTGTAAAGATAAACTGGAAAATACAAAAGAGATCAAAGAAGCTTTTATGATATTTTATTTCAACAACTGTAAGTAGAAGGTTTAGTCAGGGCCGCAAGAATTTTGCGAATATTCGAAAATCATTGTGCATAATTAACTGAATACAGGAACAGTTGTTAGTCGATAGTCTGAGGTAGGTTTAAGCTCTTCGATTGCTAAATACCATGCTGTTAATTTGTTTAATATAGCTTTAGTCTAATCACTAAATAGAATTATAGCAGCTACGTACTCGATCGCTAAATACAGTCTTAAGACTTCCTCAATAAACTTGATTATAAGGCAGATTATAATTGTGTCTTTGAGTTACATGATAGTATAATACCTAACGAGGACAGTAATTCTTTCATGCGCCGGTACATTACTACTTAACAGCTGGAATTAAAATACTGCAACGTCAAAATTTTCTCAAGAACTCCGGAAAGCAATTGAGACATTGCATTCTTTTTCCGCTTGAGACCCTTTTGGGGTTCAACCTCGTTCACTTCCCCCTTTCCTCTATGACGGGCATTCAACCTCGTTCCTAGAACTTTTGTCAATTTTAAATCAAAGGGGCGGGCCGGGAAACAAGGTTGACGGACAAGGTTGACGGGCAACAGATATGG